AAATTTTAAATAAGAGAGGAGGTTTAACAAAAAATTATCCTAGTGGTATTTACTTGTAGCAATTTCAAGGACGAAGTACAACTCCTTCTTATCTCCCTGTTCATAAACCAAAGGCAAAAAATGTACAACCAAAATTAAGAGGATTTGCTAAAAATCTTAAACAACTTCAACTGCAAAGAGTTGTTAAAATTTCAGGTCCAAAAAATAAACAAGGAAGAATCAAAAAACCAAAAATAGCAAAAAGCTCAAGACGTCATTCAAGAGTAGTCAGAAGCCCAAGACGTAGAAATAGATAAAGTTTTTATTTTATATTATAAAATTAATTTTATGTTATGATATGATTATTTTAAAAAAATGTATTTTTTTTTTAAATTTCATTTTATTTGTATAAATATTTAAGAATAAAAATTTTTAACTTTAAAAAAAAAATCTAAAAAAATTATTTAATAGTATAAGTATTATTACCACGAGCAAGAATTAATCCAGTTAATTCTTCAGTATTAGCCATAATTTTTTTCTTTGCTTCTGCATCATTTGATTTAAGATAAAGTATTACGATTAATTCACCATATGATCTTTTATTATCTTTATTTGGTTTATCAAAACACAAAAGAACTACTTTAAATTTACGTGAACTCATATCTGTAATACTAACACTTTTTTTAAAAAGTTTTTGTTTTGAAGAAGTATGCATATTTTTAATTTTTTTCTTTAAACCAGTAATTCTACCATAAGTAGATAACCAACTATTAATTACATTTTCATGTTCTTCTACATCTTTAGTAAAACTATTACAATCAATATTATAATTGAATTCAATAATACCATCATCAATTAATTGTTGAAGTTCTTGTTTTTTATCTTGATTATATTAAAATGGTACAATAAAAGACATCTAAAAGATATTTTATTTTTTAAATGTTAATAAAAAAATTTCATTAATATGATCTTTTACATCGACATTAAAAGTTATAACAATTTCAATATACATATTTTCTTCTTCTTTTTCAAGAAAATATAACAAAAAAATTTTATAATTTTCATTATCATCAATAATTCCAGTAAATGCAGTATCAAAAATATGATTATTTTTTAAAGAATAATCTTTAACTCAAGAATCAATAACATTATTATGAAACTTTTTTTCTTTTGAATAAGAGTTAATTTCAGTATTAATTTTATGATTTAAAAGATTATTTAAATCTGATGAACTGTTTTTTTTAACTTTTAAAGGAATATTAATATTTTCAATATTAATTATTTCGATAGTATATTCATCAGATAAAATAATTTTTGTTTTGTTTGATTGTTTTTTATCTTCAATATTAATTGTTTCAGATATAATAATTTCTTTTTTATCTTCTATCTTAATAAAATTTATAAATTAATTACTTACTTTTAAAAAAAAATCAATTAAAACTAAAAAGTACCTTGATTTTTTACAAGAGAGCAATTTAATTTTTAAAAGAAAAAAAAATTAAATTTATATAAAAATATTTAAAGACGTAATAAAACATAATCTTATTATAGTTACTGAATGCATAAAGCAAAGATGTAATCATATGCAAAGATTGCATTTACTGAACAAAGTTTAATGATATATAAAGTATAGGCGTAATCTTAAAATTTTAATAATATATGAAATTAAGGCATAACCTTATTGCTATTACTGAAAAAAGTTTAATAATATATAATATATAAAACAGTTTAATGATATGCAAGGTATAAGGCATAATTCTATTACAGTTACTGAAAAAAGTTTAATGATATATAATGTATAAAACAGTTTAATGATATGCAAGGTATAAGGCGTAATTCTATTACAGTTACTGAAAAAAGTTTAATGATATGTAA